ATACTGGGCGCATGCACACTAAAGGATATGCATGCTAAACAAAATGGGATTCTAAATTCCAAAAATGGGAGGAGTGACCCATTGTTTGCAGTATCACCTGCAGGAGTACTATCACTTGCATCAAGGAGAAGCATTGCATCTTTTATCATTATGTTTTGCATTGCTATTTTGCTTCAGAAAGAAGCAAGGTGGAAATAGTGAGGGATGAATGAAGCACTCAAAGGAGCACTAAACACACCACAGAGAGAACCACTGTTTAAACTGCTTGGTGTGCCTGAGTAGTTTTTTGCTTCCTCTGGTGACCCACTATGACTGCACAGGAGCATTATCAACAAGCACAACAAGAAGAATGTCATGATAGAGCTCTCACTCTTAGCTTTCTATGGCTCCACTAAATCTGACCCTTCAATGACCACCACTACAACAAGCCAWATGACAGTAAAATCACATTGATATGCCTAAACCAGCCCTCCTCTTTGAATAGCTATAAAGAGTGCACAAATGACATAGATCTATTGCACTTATCTCAAGTGTATAGTAATGATACTGGATTGGATCATAATGAAAGAAGCATTCCAATTGCCAAACATTCCAATTGCCCAAATATTGAGCTTATTTCACCACAATACTAGGTTTGTAGGGTACAATACAGTCTTTGGGAGAAAGAGGTACCTCATTGCAATACTTTGTTATATGACAATTGGTGCATATGGTCTTGGCAGTGAGTACATCATGTAACCTTGATCTTCAAATTAAAAATTTTTGCTCACTTACAAGACCATATRCATTTGTTATGAAACATGTAGTAGAGCCCAAGGGCCAAATGCACCGGACTACCACTACCTTTAGTGCACAGTAGCCAGTAACCTTGAAGAATTATTGCAGCCCTGGAATTACCAAGGAAACAAAAAGAAACTTTTTTTGTGTGGATTTGTGTAAACCCTGGTATACCATATTTTGCAAATAAATTAGTACCCTGACCAAAAACAGATTATTCATTTTTAACTTAAACATTCAGTCATCATTGTGACAACAAGTCATTCCAGTATTTACGAGAAGCAAATTGCTCCCAAGACTCAAAAAATCAGTCATTATTGTGAGGATCAGTCATTCCAGTATTTAAGAGAAGCAAATTGCTCCCAAGACTAAAAAATCAGTCATTATTGTGAGGATNATCAGTCATTCCAGTATTTAAGAGAAGCAAATTGCTCCCAAGACTAAAAAATCAGTCATTATTGTGAGGATCAGTCATTCCAGTATTTAAGAGAAAYGRATTGCTCCCAAGACTCAAAAAATCAGTAATATTTGCAATTGTTTGCAAACAAGGAGTTCATGCTTTGATGGGAGCTGTCACTTTAAGCACAAAGTCACACATTGTTTCTGGTCCCATGGCAAGCTATCTCCTTCAAAATTATGGGTCTTGTTTCAACTTTTCTTATGAATTTGAATTTCTTGGTCTTGATTGTTTTGAGAGAGAGAAAATTGAGGAATTTGTTTTGGATTCCAATACAATTCAAAACAAACACATTGTTCTATTTATTAAATCTCATGTTGCAAATTATTTGTGCACCATGCCAGGCAAACCTGAAAATGTTTCTGTTACAGACAGATTAAAGAAGCTGCAAATTGACACTTTGGTTGTCACTTATCAAGGTTCCCACAAGCGTGGAAGAACACTGCTGAAAACACCAAAAGTCCCACCATATTCAAATGCGATTGCACTTCAGAACTCAGGTTCAGGTTACTTGGTTTTTTCTACAGACAATGCACAAAATCTCAACCAAAATATAAAACCTRATGAGCTTCAAAGAAGTGTTTTGTATCAAATTCTACACAAAGCCTTTGATGTTGTCACCCATGAGACTGATCATGCAAAAGATATGAAAACTTCACATTTACTGGAGCCTTGGAAAATATYAGACACTATACAAAGTTGAATTTTTAAAATGACAAAGACCAAGAAAATGCATTTAACCAGATTGCTGTTGCTGCTTTTGTTTCAAAACTTGATAAAATATCTCTACATTCACCTGAACAATAACRAAAAAGATATTCCACAAGAAGATTAATTGGCAATTGCTACAACAAATAYATTCAAGATCTCAAGGCAAGAATGAGCAACAAAAAGCAGTTCATCTGTTTTCTATCAGGGGATGGTACTCCTGGTACTGGAAAATCAAAAGTAATTCATTATGTTTGACATTATTGTAACAAGATGTTTTGCAAAGAATTGGGAGTGAACTTTTCCAACATAACTCTGGCTTTCACAGGCATGACTGGAACAGCAGCAGCAGTTAATATCAATGGGGAAACAACACACAGTAAAGCTCCTTGCTACTACACTATCTTACTAGTAATTGTGACAGATCCAATGTTACAGATAAATGAGACTTGCCTACTCACTGTTGACAAGATATCCGCAATATCATTTGCTAGTATCAAACAAATTGAAACATTGAGTAAGTATCTGAACTGATTGTGTGACAATTGTGTGACAAGCCATCATATAATTTGTTTGGCAATCTATCTACCAATTGTCTTAGCAGGCGACTTCAATCAACTCAAACCTGTGGGAGGAGAGACAAAAAGATTTCCATCTTGCGTGAGAACAAACCAACATAGTTAAAATTTGAAACTTCTCTCACAGAGAACGATAGATATTCCGCATGCACCAGCGTTGGAAAGCTTCACTACCGGCTCTATTGCTTCCATTTCATTATCTTTCTACAATTATACAACCCACGGTTGTGATCGCATTGGAATCGAAATTGCCGAGACAAAAGTACTTCAAGCCTTTCAGACCYCTAACCTCTTCGCTGCGTTCGCCGTCCTGKCTTTTGACAATCAAGCAGAACCCGGGAGATAGTGCAGATAGTGGTAGCAAGGTCATCGACATGATTTTACGGGTTCGTTCGAATCTCGGAACAGTGAAACTCACAATAGAGGATGAGTTGAACGCGACCGAGTCCACCATTCGAACTGCAATGATAGAGGAACAGCAACGCAAAACGGGAAAGATGTTCAAGATCACACAAAACCTAAGTTTCGATCCTTCTGGGTTGCACCGGATCAACACATCAAAAAGTTTGAAGRAGCAAGGTATCCGGCACGGAAGCATGGTGTACTGTCGCCTCGAAGAGGATATTTCTAAAGATCGGGTGTTGATGGATAATAGCGATGGCGTCGCTCAAGACAAATACGAGGAGGAAAAGAAACCAGGACAATCTGCTGAAAAAAAGCCCTCAAGCAATGATGTCATCGATTTGATGGACAGCAGCGATGAAGAAGATACAGCTGTCAACCAAAAACCAAGAGGCGACMTTCATGACGACGACGACGTCGTCGTAGTGATAAGCCCTCCCAGAAGCGGAAATGTCCACAAAAAGCAAAGTAGCGACAAGAAAGATTCACAAGTCCGCAAACGGAAACGATTGGAGACGAACAGTGCTTCGAACCACACGAAACCGAAAGCCACCATGGATGCGTCAAATATTGACAGCAATCCTTCGAACTTTCAGATCGCGTCGTATAATGTTTGGTTTGGGCCACCAGATCCAGAAGCGAAGGACGTATTTCCGAAGCAAAGAATGGCAGGTATTGTCAAAAGTCTTCGGGCAGCTTCTATAATGAAAGATCTGAAGGAAGGAATTGTCTCTCCCCTTTTGTTTGTGGGCCTGCAAGAGTTGACGCCTCCTCTCGTCAAGTATTTGACACCTCATTTCGATAGTATTGGTTATCGAATATGCACTCAACCAATCGGAAGCTTTGGACCATCCTACGGAATCGGGATTGCGSTTCCCAAAGATCTGGCTATACTGGATCGCCAATTTGTACCGTATTCCAACTCTATACAAGGCCGAGGATTCTTGTTTATACGGACGCAGACCATGCTGTTCGCGACAACCCACCTCGAAAGCTGGTGCGGGCCGCAGTTTACTGGCAGCAAGGAAAGGGAGGTACAATTGGCCGATGCAGCGAAATTTTGTCGGGATCAGCTGAACTCGGTGGCTGGGTTGGAGCTGGCTGTGATCTTGGGAGACCTCAACTGGGACGACGAGCGCAAAACGAAACGAAGCGAGCCGGCAAACCAGGAATTGCTATCTCTGTTGCCAAAAGGATGGAAGGATGCCGGGACCCCGTTTGATTACACCTACGATCAAAAAGAAAATCCCATGCTAAGCGGAAATTTGCGACGACGATTTGATCGTTGTATATACACAACAAAACAAGGGAAAGAATTCAGGAGTACGGGACTGCAAAAAATTGGAAAGGAAACTATTCCTAATCTCGTTTGGGACAAAAAGAATCCCTACAACGGGACCATTAGAAAAATGCCCGTTAGTCCGAGTGATCACTTTGGCATCGTGATATCCTTCTCGAATGCACCATGACCTCTCTTCACATGCCATTCTAAATTTCATAAAATTGTTTCATTAGTAGACTATTCGCTGCATTTATCTTCGCCCGTGTCGTATCAATCTTCGGCATAATTTACGTTAGCTCGTCGAGTAGATCGAACCGCACCCAATCTTGGCTCTTCCCAATCGTCTTCTTGTGACTGCTGCCAAGCATTCATTCGACGGGTGGTTCGCATCGGGCGGGCAGCGTATTGGTCGTACACACTTTGTGTAGAAACATACGAGGTTTTCGTCCCCTTCACTCCGTTCGCGGTCAAGTAACTCCTCGTATTGCGACACATCAATTCGAAAGCTAGCGTTAGGAACCCGACCGTTTTAGAATCTGCTCGCAAAGGAACACACGGAAAAATCAAAAGTTTGAGAAACATRGTGTAAATCATTCGGCTTGAAAGACTCACAGCATCCAAMGAACGYAAAACTCACTAGAAACGATTTCAATGAAGACGTTTCGACTATCTTTCGAGCTCCAAAGACTAGAAACATTTGTTTCGATCGACTCGAGCTCGATATGCTCTCTTGTGTTTGGATTGCTCAGCAGCTCTTTTCCGGATGTAGTGGAATCGCTCCCTTCTTCGAATTCGCCACCAATTAGCTCGAAAAATGCGTTTTCGAGTGTTAGTAGCCCTTCTTTGACTGTCTCGAACTCAAAACTATATTCTCTCATTGATGTAATCCAAGTATTCCTTGACCCATTCTTCCCACCCCAATTGTTGTCGTAAGTCAAAACCTTCAGTTTTTGATAGAGCTCGGCCTCGACCTTCACCATGTATTGACCAAAACGAATCGGAGTCATTGCATGAGGAGCATCAGCAGCTTTGCCGCAATGTCGCCCTAAACTGTTCCTGAAAGCCAGAAAGGCAGCATCATGCTCAAAATAATGTGCATCTTTTCGTTTCCACTTGTGATAGCGACATATGCTTTCGAGAAGTTCTATCCCAGTCAACCACACCTCGTTCCCGTTTTCGGTCCATGCACGCCATAAATGCGTAGGAACAGTCTGTAATTGTGGCTCAAATTCAGTTTCATCTTTTTCAACTGGAACCTGGYCCATTCTTGTTTTCCATCCAATTATTGACGCTACTTCGTACCTACAAATCTCTCCGTCTTTGTTGGAATCAACAGCAATTCTGACTCTGACTCTTTCTCCGATCGCAGAGGGCTGCAGTTTTTCTATTTGATCGGTTTCGATCGATTTCGACGGAGCGGCTAGGGCCGAATTTTTAACGCTTTCGAACGCGACTTCATCTCCACCAGTTTGATGGGATTTCTCTTTTCCATCGTGCTCCTGATCTTGATTCTCTACATCGTCTGTCTTTCCTGCCTCTGCATCTCCAATTTGCTCCTTACTCTCTACCGCCCCTTCACCACTTGTTGTCTTTTCTTCGAGGGCTTCTTTTAGACTTTTCTTCAAGTTATTTTCTCTGATACCACGACTATCAAGACCTTTCATCAAGGCTCTGATTGAGGATTCGTTCACGTGACATCCCCATTCCCGTGTCGCTAGAGAAGCACTGGTACCAGAATGGTGGTATTCTTGTCTACCAAACAACAAAAATTCTGGATTAGATTCTGTTGGACTAGGGGGAAAGTCCTCCTCGTAATCACGTGGACCTACGAAAACTTTCGAGGGGTCTGAAACCACGTCGATAAATCCTTGCTTATTCGTCAGATTAGAATCAGAACCTTCCAATGCAAGGTTTACTTCCGTCCATACATGGGATTGATCACTGCTTTCAAATCGCCAAAAACGATTTCGAAACCTATCGTATCCGAGAGGTTCAGTCCTGATGAAGCACTTGTTTAGCTTCGAAACAAGATCTTTCTGAGCATCAGCCACCCTTTTCAATTGTTTTGCATTCTCGAGCTCCATGTGGGCGTCACGGACGATGTCTAACGACCAAATCCCATTCGTGTCGTCGTCGTTACCAAAGAGTTTCGCAGTCTTTGCTGTGCGGATTGCACCTCTAAGGCTTTTTATCGTGCCATCAAGCATAGCTTCTTTCAGATTTTCTATGGCCTGATTTCGTATATCAGGAAGATACTCGGCCGATTCTTCGGCCCTGCGTATATCACGTCTTAACTTTTCTATTCTCCTAACAAGACTTCTTTCTACATCTGGGTTCATAAGGGCATCTTCTCCCCCTAGTTCCTTCAAGTTCTCTTCCATCGCTAAAAGCATGTCTCTCTCTCTCTCTAGAAGCTCATCCATGGTCACAACGATGAGAAGCTCTGTCTCAAATGCAGCTGCCTCCTGTAGTTTCGCCACGCGTTCCATAACTTCGGTTTTCTTGAAGCTTTCGGGAGTAGGGAGTGCATCAAAGTCGGCTTTGATGTCTTCATCGAAATCAAGAATATCCTGTTCCGTTAGTGTATCAATATCTTCTGCGGTAAGCTCTTGGTTGTTTTCGTTCAGTTTTCTAATTTCTTCTCGCTTCTCTTCAAGAAAGTTGTGTCGAGCTTCCATGGCAAGATCTTTCCTTGCAGTAGTTACGTCGGCAGAGGCCTTTTCCTTAGCTTCGCGTTTTGCTCTGCGTTGTTCTACATCCAAAGCTTTCATAGCATTGGTTCTTTGGCTGTGGTTTGAAGATACTACTTCGTACACTCTATTGGTGTCGTATGCTGCTTCGATCAGGATGCGCAGCACCATGAGACGTTCAGAAGGTGTCAGCTCCAAATAGTTGCCTCCTGCACAAAGCGTTTCGAGTGCATGTTCCACCGATCCATCATCCACCCCACCAGAAATAAATTCCGAAAACACCCTGCCAGAGGATATGGATTCGCGTTCTCGCCTTTCTTTCACAGTCAGTTGCGAGAGGTCGCGGGATTGGCGTAATCTATCATCTACCTCGTTCCTAAGTCTCTTGTAGCGATGTATAATACGGCAGACAGCTGCGCCTACAATGTGTGGCCAGCTGCTGGGACTAAAAAGTTGGACGCTTTGCGTAGGAGTAGGCTTCCCCGGTGGTAGGAGAAAATCGACAAGGGTCGGCTGGGGTTTCTTCGGAATGTAGGACGCAGGTTGATCTTCTTCGGTGTACGCGTCCAAAGCTTTGTTGGAGTGCTCGAAATTATCATTGTCAGCATGGCTTTCGTCGTCGGAATCTTCGTCTTCTTCCGCATCGGAAGCTAGGTCTTCCTCGTTTACGGTCAGGGTAGCAGAACTTAACTTCTCCATTTGGTGTTCCACTTCCTCGACAACCTGGGCTCGCTTCTTCAAAACATCGGAGGCCTTGCTGGTTCTTGACAACTCGGGCTTGGCTTCGGTGACCTTGTCGAGCAACCAGAGAACAGCTTGTTTCATAAAGCTTGGACCACTTGTCTTTCCCAGTTTGATAGCCTTTCGGAAAAACGCCAGCACCCACCTATTCGCGACCACGTTGGTAGCTTCGTCCAACGCCTTCTTCATCGATGCCGCATCGGCAGAGTCCATGTTTCGAATCGGCTGCAATGCTCGAAGCCAACTGTTTGTTATCAATGGGTCTTCTGGATCGGCCAGCAGTGCCGCAAAATTTATCCGAATGAGAGGCAGATCGCTCTCTTCCTCCTTCACGTTTGCGCCTTTTGTAGCATCCTTGTTGGCAAGGACGGCATTTTCGGATTGTTCTGTTTCTAGAATCGACCACCACCAATCATCACTGCTAGGGTCTCCAAGTATGAGTTTCAAAAGTCCGAGGTGAGCTTCGCCGAGATATACCGGGGGGGCACTATATGTGTCGCTGTCGATGGCCTGTGGAGGAGGAACGTAATTAATGCACTCCAAAAAGTCGTCCAGAGGAATCGGCTGGAGGCTCAGGGCTCGAGAGAATGTGCAAAGGAAATCCCATGCTTGCAATGCCTCCGCCATACAATGCTTTGGAAGTCCGTGGAAAGAGTCGATGTCGGGATTTCGAGCCGCCGGACAGTTGGTTGGAAGAACTGCTGTGTCCGCGCCGGACGCATTGGTTTCGGCAGCCACCTCTTCTTGCAAAACGGAATCGTCCACCGGGTATTGGGCGTCTTTGTCGTCTTCCAAAAAGGTGTCCAGTGCTTTCGTTGCCCGACCGTACTGTTTCCTCAATCGGTCAAGCTCCTTTCGCAGCCGTTTCTTTTCCGCCTCGACTTGTTTTGCACTGCTGGCGGTGCTGGATCCGCCCACCCGCCTGCGTTTCTTTTTCAGGTTGCCGATGCCGGCCGCAGCCGCCGATCTCCTGCTCGACGAAGGACCCGATTTGTTGTCTACCAGATTGAGAAACCTACCTACCTCGATCATGGAACGAAACCGCTTGCCGTGCTCGTTGAAAAAATTCACGTCGAACCGTCCGTCCGAGGGCTTCACGGTCACCCGGCACCGATAGTTCTCCACCATCCCCCGATCGCCCCCCTCTTTCTCGATGAAGGCTACAAGGTTCTCCATCCCCCGCTGCTCCCGGTCCGCGAGCTCGTCCTTGCTGCCCGTCGTGCTATAAGACGAAGCGGCGACGCTTTCGCCGGCTTTCTTTTCCGCTGGCGTCCTCGAGGGGGTCTTTCGCTTCTTGGCCGAGCCGCCGCCCGAGGACGCCGCCGACCGGCGCTTCTCGATCCTTGGAACGGGGGCGTTGCGAGCCGCCTGGGCGAGGTAGTCCTTCCGCTCGGAAAGCATTCCGCAGACCCGCTCGAGGTGCTTGTCGGCGAGCTTGGCATGCTTCGTTTTTCTGCGTGGGGGAGGGGCAACGAACGGTACCACCACGGCAAATAAGACAGAGAAAGCATCGGTCCTCGACGGGGTGAGTTGGGTGGATTCGTTTGCAGGTTCCGAGATCACGAGACGGCAAGTTCGGACGTTTCGCGGTAGAAACACTCAATCACGCCCCGGAGGCAACACAAAGACAAAACACACGTACCGTTTCAGATGCAATGCGTAAATACCCCCAATGTCTCTCGCAAAGTCTTCCCATCCTTCTTTTCCGTAGCCGTAGCCTTTCTTGTCTACCTTTATTCCCAGCGACGTCAGACAGAGAATGCTGCTCTTTCCTTTTTCGTCGTCGTCGCCGTGGTATTGATACGTCTGAAAGGGCTCGGCATTGGGCAATTCCCAGGCCTTGGTGAGGATTTTCCCCATTCGTTTGTGCGCATTTCTCCGTTTCCTCTCTCGTTCTGCGTCTTCCTCTTTTTTGGAAGAATTGTTGTCCGCCATTTTAGTGCAGTGTGTTGGAGCCTTTCAGATGAAACGCAAAACGAAACCTGTTTTCAATGTACCGATGGAAGCAGTTGGTTGCATGTGTTGTGGATCGTGTTGATGTTGGTGATGGGATTGGTGTGTGGTGAAACGGTAGAAATATCGCGTACTACGTTACTGGCGACGTCGTAGAATAGGTCTACGTAAAGTTTTTACGTAGATCCTACAGTACCATAGCACTACGAAGGTTTTTACATCACTGAGTTTCGGAAAAATTAAGTACGGCAATTACAGTATTACTGTTGTATGTTTGTTGTGAGATTCGGGATTACTTCTCTACTATTCTGCTGGGTTCTTCTCGACGTTACTGTTGACCCTAGCAGCCGCATTTGAGGTCGCCATCGATATCTCTGTTTGCGGAACGAAATTGATGCCGTCAGTGGTTCGTCTCTTGTCGATTGTCGTAGCATGCTTCAAATGTTCTAGAGTTATCGCTTGTGCCTGAGCATCCCTCCGGTATTCGGTACCAAGGCAAGCCACGTACATTTTGTACCATCATTCCTCTATTCGTTTTGCACACTCTATTTCGAAACGAACACTAATTCTCGTCGTCACTTGTTGATTGTCGTGTCGTGGATTTTGATTTTCAGAGTTCATTGGGTTGGATCTTCTTTTCGTTGCTCAGCGGATACAAAGCGCTTGGTGTTTTGTAATAGTACTTACCAGCTTCCTGCGCCGATAAACTCACGAAACCCTATCCTTATCCAGAGGCCCTAAACCGGGGAAGAACGATTGAATCCAGTCGAATTTCATTCATCTCGTCGACCCGGTCGTCAGTCGACATTTTCATTGCCGTGTTCCGAACCCGAAAAACCATAAAGTCGAATCGAAGAACATGGTGATCCCGCAAGCTGCTACTCAATTGAAGCAACCTCTCTTGAACGTAGAATTTTGAAAGCTTTTTCGAAAACGCCGTTGTTGTCGTCTGTGCTACGTCGTTGTTAGTATGTTCGTGTCGTGGGGAGCAATAGGAACAGTACCATGGATGTTCCAAGGTGCATGCCAATGTACGAATCATTGACTTGCCGAAGTATCACGGTGCGTAGAAGCGATGAATCTGCCTGATTCGGGGGCTCTCGGATTTACTAGATTTGTCGTCGTCGAAGGTTGCCATTCCATGGCTGCAGTTTCCTTCGCCAATGAATCGTAACGCGGAATAGTACACAGTGAAGAAGAGTGACCTCCGCATTCCCACCAACGAATTAGAGTAGGTCGGTGGCGGGGGATTCACTCTCGGTGAAGATATTTGCTCATAAAACATATGTTTCGAAGTGGTCGTCGTCGAGGCCCTGACTGCTTCTTAGAGATGCTGCTGCGGTGCACGCGCGTGGTGAGTTCCACTATCGGAAACTCTTTCAAAGTGCGATCAAGGCGTTGCAGTCTGCCACAACAGTGGACTCACGAAACATCAGATCCTTGGATCCTTCATGCATGTTCCTTGCTGTGGAACTCTCTCGTGTTCACTTCATTTTCCTTCGTTTTGTTCTCGCCTGCGGTCCTCCCACAATCCACATCAGCCGAAACCTCTGAGAGGAACTCATTCGGATCATATGCAAAACATAGTTGCCGTCTTGTCGCGGTCGATTTCGTCGAGATAACGACTCCAACGATTCCAATATCAGCCTGCATTCCGGATTGTGGTTCAAAAAGTCGTTCGAACAGGGTCTATGACCCTTCCACAACGCGCAACACCTCAAGGGAGGCGTTGTTTCGTGAGGGGGAGGGAAAATGCACCAGACCTATCCTACCACTCGTATCAATAGTAGCAGGTGTAGTGGCGCTGTTCCTTATTTCAATCGTCGCAAAGTATCGTATCAGTAGGTGCTACAAATCTATTCTAGCACTTGCATCAGCAGTTGCAGGTATAGTTGTCACTTCCGTTGAAACGAGAGCGGCCTGCTCAACCAAGTGATAGAATAGGTGTGGTCCCGGCTTCTATGAACATTCAAACAAGCTTTCTTTGCATACTGGAACAACGCAATCCAGACAATGTGGGTTTCTCACTTCCAAGAAATGAGAAATACGGGTCATCACGTCAGGGGTCACCCATGCGAAACGCAGCTCCTTACCACAGCCACCAACGCAGCATATTGCAAGGAAAGAACAAGCAGCATAGGCCCGATGGCAGGCAAATCGTTGAGATGCCGTCGACGCTAGGAGCATCGTGCTTGCTCCGTGGTGATAGACGCCCAGGAGAAAGACAAGCGCCGACCAAGGCGCTCAAATGACCCCGTCTCAATGGCATGACTCCGTCCCCGGGCGCATCCAGCAGCATCAGGCACCGGCTGCCGTGCACGCGTAACTTCGTTTACGACAGAGCACGGTTCAACGCTTCAACCGTTCCTGGCAACATTCTCTGGAAGGATTGCGAGCCATCGAAATGTTTTCGCAGGTTTACCATGATTGGATGTGATGATGCTTCGGCGTAGGAAAAGGAATGGTTGAAAGGGTGTGGTGCTCGTACCGTAGTGGAGGAAGAACCGGAAGGAGAATAATTGTCAACAGAAGGAAAACCCTCTCGAAAACCCACCAGCACTTGGATGGTCCGGCCCGTACGAGTAAGGTACTACCATACGGTAGTCGGGGGTAGTATCGTACAGCAACGTTCTTGACAAAAAATAATGCATCAAGGAGCACGTTGCGTTGCGACGTTTGTACCTTTACATCACCGTTGCGGCTGTACGGTACTATACTCGTACTTTGAGGAACGAACTTACTGTACTGTGCCGTACTGTATTGTACCGTACTGTATTGTACCGTACTGTTTGTTCGCAATTGATTTCTCCTTTCTTTATTGGACGTGCGTGGTGGTAATTACTTCTGACACCGACAGCTGTTCTTTCTTAAAAACAATTCTTTCACCAAGCATCTTGGAACGAAGGACGGACAAGATATTATCCTCCCTTTATTCCCCCGAATGAAGAGCCTGATCCTAGATGCCCCCAACCCCAAAGACTGTGCGTTTTGGTTCTTGCAACGGCTCTGGAAATGGAAAAGTTTGAAAGCTGCGCATGTTCGAATGATAGTCATTTTTGGGTTGCATCGGTACATTCAGGTAGTAAAAACGCCGTCTTTCATTTGGAGAGACACCCATGCCAAATCGCATTGCATGAACGAATCACCATGATATCCAACTTTTTTGTCTTGTCTCCGCGAGGTGACACTATTATTGCCAAGCGATACAGGACCGAAGGTGACAGGACCGGATCCCACGAGAGAAGTCACACCGAGGCTTTCTTCCGAAAAATCAAATTCTGGGACGACAACGCCGGAGCGGGAGGAGTGAATTCGGATGGGGGATCGGGCTCCGGCGACAATGGTTCGGCGGAGGAGGGCCTTTCCTCCTCTATTTCGACCGGAGATGCCCCACCCGTCTTTCTCATGCCGGACGGATTGACCTACATGCACGTCAAACGAAACGGTCTCATCTTTGCGTGTTCCACGGCCCGAAACGTCTCGGCAGTCACCGTCATTGAGGTGAGAGTTTCGGATTCATCGCACGATTTGCGCGTGGATTCCCGTCTTCATTGTTTTTCACGTTTTGTTCCAAAACCCAAATCTTTTGCTCACCTTCTTTTGCCGATCAATCCAATGCAATCACTTCACCAAAAACGACGTATCTAACCGCATTGCAATGCCATTTGGACCCATTTGCTCCGCCGCTATTACCAAAGCTCCTCAACACGATTGCCCGGGTCTTCAAGGATTATTGCGGCACCCTGTCGGAAGAAGGGATACGAAAGAATTTCATTTTGCTGTATGAACTTTTAGACGAAATGCTAGATTACGGATATCCACAGGTCACGCGCACTCTAAACCTCAAATCTTGCGTGTACAACGAAGCTATTCTCATCGATCCGGTCAGTAGCACATCGAAGATGGTCAATCCGAAAACGGCGTCGGCGAGCGCCGTGCACAAACCAGTTATTTCGGCGGTCAATGCGAACGGCAGAAAGACGGAATCAGCCAGCCAACAAAAGAACGAAATTTTTGTAGATATTTTAGAAAGATTGAACGTCCTGTTTTCTGCGAATGGGTACGTTCTCAACAGCACCATCGACGGCTGTATTCAGATGAAATCTTACCTAGCCGGGAGTCCCCAACTCAGACTGGCTCTCAACGAAGATTTGGCTATTGGAAAGAACAATTCGCATTACGGAGCTCCTACGGTAGATGATATCAATTTCAATGAGATTGTCAACCTATCCGAATTCGAGAGTGCCCGCACGCTTTCCTTTGTCCCTCCCGACGGCGAGTTCGTCGTTTTGAATTACAGAGTAACTGGAGATTTTACCACACCGTTCCGAATCATCCCTTCCATCGAAGAAGTGGAACCAAAAAAGCTGGAAATCACGGTCTTGGTTCGAGCAGACATGCCGGCCAACCATTTTGGTGCAAACGTGACGGTTGAAATTCCTTTACCGAAATGCACAGCAGTGGCCTCTTGTGTAGTCATTGCCAGCCCGGGCACCGGACACACGAACGCCGAATTCGTTCGGGCGGATGGAAAGATCCTCTGGACGCTCAAGAAAATACCGGGAGGCAGCGAACAAACGATGCGAGCGAAGGTCACGCTGTCTCAACCCTGCACCACGCAGATCCGGCGAGAGATTGGTCCGATCAACATGAACTTTGAAATCCCGATGTTCAACGTTTCACAGCTGCAAGTGCGATACTTGCGAATTGCCGAAAACATGGTCGGATACACGCCCTATCGCTGGGTGCGGTATGTCACACAGAGTAGTTCGTATGTGTGCAGGGTTTAGTGAACATCGTACTACTTTCGAGCGACCAAGAACTTCGGAGTATAATTTAATGTTAGAAGGTACATTACGAAGATAGGGATGGTGAATCATGTCTTTCTCGCTAGTAGAGTAGTTGAAAACCACGCCCAAAGTTACGAATGCTGCGGTATCCCGACTCAATCAATGAATTGTATTCAATACTATACTTAATTGCCATTGATACAAACCGCACAGGCATACATCTACGTTGTTCCCAAGCATAATGTATTTGTTGTTTTCATTGATGCCACAGCAACACAAAACAGAATCACAGTCATCGCAATTAGCGCAAACCAGGACATCCGTGGGTTGGCAGGGAACGACCTAGGATATACGCGCTGTATTTTACTCGGCTTCACATGGACTTGCCAAAAGAATCTTGTTATCGGCAACGGAGACAAAAGGCAGGAGGGTGGGCAATTCCATGGAATGTGACAACGAAACACCGCTTCAAGTTACTTTGTTCCACACGTTAGGCATCCCCAAACAATTCATTTTTCTCCTGCAGAGTGGATGCTACATCGAATGGTTTCAAAATAGTTTAAAAAAAGGTTTGTAACATTTTTTCGCTTTGCGCTTTGAGTGGTACAAAGTCAATTTAGCATTAGAAACCCCGGATGGTCCGGCTTGCAATAGATCCATTCTTCGAGAAGAAAGTACTATTCGCGTCTAGCCTAAATCGAACGCGTGTATAGCATTGCAAGCATCCTTTGATCTTTTCCCATCGTGCACAATTGTTCGCCCCGGATTCCATCTCGCAGGAGATTTGAGAGCGCTCTGTCCTTACGACCGCTCCGCGTACTGCTCGGTTCATGTACTGTGCCGAAAACCCTCGATGAAGCCCTTCCAGAAGACGTAGACATAAAGCAACGAAACGGTGAACGAGAACCAACCAACCAAGTGGAACACGAATCTCTCGTACGGATTCAGCATGTACAGACCCGTCCACAAGTTGAATCGATATATCCATTTGCTCAGAACCGAGCCATTTTGGCAGAGTTTGTCGGTGTTGGTATTGGTAAGCGGGCGTTTTCGTCGACGCCTAGGTGCGGTAGTTGAAGCGCTCGATTCGGCAGAACCATCGCGAGATAAAGTTCCAGATGACATGGCACTTGCGCTCTTTGCTCTCGTCGATGCGATAAAATGGTGATTCCGCCGCCTCGTTTGTCGTCCTCTATTTTTTCGAAATTAAGATACAAGTACAAGAATAGTGCCACGAATGAAATGAGGAGGAAAGAGTAGTGTTTTGAGTTGAAGTACAAGTACTACTTCTACCAGTTACAGTATTTCGAAGTAAAATGCGTCAACCGTTGAATCCTACCACGCCCTACAGGGCAAAAGGGCATTCTACTCTGACACTAAAAATTATTACTTCCTCCGGTCCACAAAGTGTGTACAGTTTGCACGTTTACTAATACTGAAATAAACAAAATAATAGGGCGATTTGGATTTTTTTTTGTCATACTGATCTTATCCCATTGTATTTTAATGTGCATAAGAGTTGAGCTGTTAAAGAGATTGGAATAAGCCTTCAAACAGAGCACTTCTAACACTAGTACTACTAGTAGGAGTAGTATATATTTCATTTTTCCCGTTGAAAGGGTTCTAGTAACAGTCATTTTGATATGCCACCACTTGCACAAAATAGTAGCTACTAGTAAGAGTAGACAATTTATGAGGCCATACTTCATAATAGTATGACTTGCTTTCTTATATAGGTCATTTGCATTTAAAAGAGCTGCACTGTACCATTGTCACTATATTGTTTCACGTGTTAACAGAGCACTACTATATTGTTTCACGTGTTAACAGACTGTTCAATTTCATGTGCAACAATAATAATTTTTATTTACGTGCATGCCCATATATAGTATCTACTACTTATTCTACACAGTCATTCCACGGTCATTTGTGGAATCCAACTGCCAAAAACCTTAAAAACTGTTAATTAAAGTTGGAGACACATATACAKGACCAGTAAAACAGGGGCACAATGACACACTCTCTGGACCGGAGGAAGTACTAGTAAAATCAGGGTTAATTTTGAATCCAAGAATTTTAGTACTGATCCTACATAGATCTACTAGTTTTTTGTCACTTTTTTACCACAAACAGCTCAATAAGCTAAAATAAGCTAAACACAACAGCTTCGGAAAGGCCTCTAATGAGATCCCCTTTGGGGATATGCTCCTCCGTCATTGTGTTAAGAAGGTGCCGTGTGTCATTGTTACACAATTAGAGGCTAGGGGGAGCCAGTTCTCCATTAACAGCCGGTGTGGCCAAATTTTGCTAGTTTCTGAGACCAGCTGCTGGTTAGAAAATAGGCCAGAACTCTATCAAAAAACAACTCTAGATCACCACCAGACTAAGCGCCCAGTCCAACAATTTGATATAATTACTTAGAGATCCATGTCATTGGGAACCTTAAGGATGCTCTGGTGGCTTAGAACTGGTCAGCCAAAAGTACACTAGTGGGAGGCCAAAAATTGCGTGTTAATTTTGGCTGTACAATTTTATATTGAAATAACTGGTACAGTACTGTACGGTACCATACTATTCTAGAACTGTATCAAAAGTGTGTAATGATTGGCAAGCTACTCTCATGCCATACATTTAATCAGTACAGTATGTATTCTGATCTTTATTCTGCTGGATAAGCTCTAGTGAGAGAAGGAAATTACGTGCAGTTGAACACAAAGCAAAACTGCACATGATTTCCTTCTCTCACTTCAGGTGATCAGAATACATACAGATTACACAAAATAATCTGATTGAGGACAAGCAAGGTTGAGGTCGTATTAGAGGTTAAGAGTGTTAGCTTGAGACTGAGACCAAGACGGAGGCCAAAGTTACTACTAGATTCTTCTTACTGGTGCCACCAGTAATCAAACTGAGACTGAGTCTGAAGTTTGATTACTAGAGCAGCAAACAAGGTGCTGAGGAGTCTTGCTGATTATTTAGTACCTAATCATTGAGTTTGCTCACTTTTTGCTTGTATTCACAGGACCCCGAGGATATTGTAATACAAGTTGTTGCTGATAGTACAGAGGACAACCGCACTGATGCAGAGGAGGCTGATGCAGAGGAGCTGCTGATATAGAGGACGCTGGATACAGAAGAGGATGCTCAATACAGAGGAGGACACTGAATTGTATAGTAGGCTTGGCTACGTTTTTCCAGCCAAACCATTCATACATTAGGAATGCTCAATATTCATACATGTATAACAATCAATACTTCTCTGACCCCCACCAGACTCCCCCATATGACTAGAATTGTGTTTAAACTGGGATTTAATTCATGTGCTTACCATTGTTAAGTGTCTGTTGGGGACAAAGTTATAGCTGTTTGGGTGAGTTGAACCTCTCATAATGTTCTGTGTGTTTTTCCACTGTGCGTGGATTTTGGACTATCTTTTTATCATGTAATGACTCATAGGATGAAAATTTGACTTGTACTAGTAGGGTTAAAGCACACGTGCAAGTGAGTTAGATGATTTTGAACAAGAATCTCATTGGAATTTTCTTCTTATTACAATTGCTAAACTACTAAACTAGTTTGCTGATTGTTGTTGTTCCCTCCTGTTTGCTGTTTGCAATTTATGAGTACTGTGGAATACTGAATCTACTGCAGAATACTGATTCAAAATTTTGTCCACAAAATACTACATGTTGTTTGGATTCAATCTGTTGGTTCCCTCTTAACAAGGGAGGGTGCCCCCAGCAATTGCGGTACTAGGATTGCTTCCATGTGACTAGTATCCCAAAATATACATTGAGGATAGATATTCATGCAAACAATTGTGGTGGGATTGCTTCCATGTGCAATGCATTCCCTCTGTTAGCAATCCTATTTTTTTTGTGGGGGGGGTCTGTGTTAGCATTCCCATTTTTTTGGGAAGGTATGCAAGAAAAGCAGTAAGACAAAATAACATGGTGTGGTATGACGTGGGTTCCACTTTTAGGATCCAGTTTTAGCTCATCCTTCATAATACTAACTTGAGTACAGTATAACTGTGATTGCTACTATTAATCTTCCATGAAAGAACTAAACAACAATCAACCCAACTATGAGAACTGGTGGCACAATCAACAATCCACATGGGGACCAGAATGGAAATTGGCACAATGGAAAATCCACATAGGGACTGCAATCAACATTTGCAATCAATTGTCTGCAATTGAGAATTGGAATTCGACATTAGCATCTACAGCCAGGCCTATCCTGTATGAGAAAATCATGTCTATCTTTGTGCATAGGATTGCCTTGACTCATCAAAGGATTCAAACCTAGTTGTATTGCTTGCCGTTAAGGTGTCGAGGATCTGATTAGTAGTAGTGACTACAGCACTGCATTGAAATTATACAACAACAACAACAAGAGAGGATAAGAATACTAATCTTCCTATCCCCAAGTTCTTGTAGTGTCCGCCTCTCCTTCATTCTTGGGAATTGCCCCTGGATCATTCTCACCATACCCCATTTAGACAACTGCCAGACAGCCGCTGCTTGCCTCTTAATTACTACAGCCTGGGTGTTTTGAGACATAGCTAGTATCAAAGATATCTGGATCATTTTGCTGGCTTTGAATGAGATGGTCTATTCCTTTGAACTTAAATGCAGAATCAAGAACAACCTGCTGGTGTCTGTCAGTTGTGTTATATATGTCTTCCATCTTGTCATATTCCATACTCAGCCATGGTACTGTCATACCACCAAGTCCCAGGGCAGTTATACAAATTCTCCCATCTGACACAAGAAAGACAAGGATGCTATTAATGTATGTATCACAGACCCAAGAGTTATAGTACGTATTCTGAATGGCCCAGTTGTCGGAGTGCTGAATCATAACTTTGAGGCCATTGGCTGCTCCCTAGAACCTCTTTGTTGCAAGCACAGATATTTTCTTCCTATTGCTGCCACATATGAATGGACCTCATTCCAATAGTTGCAGTTATCCCTCTTTTTGCCCTTGAGTTTGCCTTTCTTGTTGAAGAGTTGAGATCTGATCTGCTATGGTTGATTATTCCAAAACAATCTCAATAGGCCTTACCAGTATGTACATGRCATATTTTTCATGGAAGTCAAGACATACAGTAACTGATAATCAAATGCTTCTGACCAATACCAGGTACTTGAATTGGACAAAACATGGAGAAATGGGGCGAAATGATCATTTTTGTTCTAGTATCCTTAACCATTCAGAATCAGTGGTGGCAAGCAAGGTGATTTTCCTATGTATTATATAAAATAGTATTGAGGGGACACCATAATAGTAAACTCAGAATTAACAGATCTCCCAATTGATTACTGTAAAACACATCCTTACTATCGAATCGTCGTCAATATCGGTTAACTGAACTCTTTTGATCTTGTAGCCTATGTTCTTTTATTTCTCACTAGAAACCTTTGTCTTCCTTGCTTTCTTACTAGGTACCTTGGTTTTCCTTGCTTTCTTTGGTGATGGTTTCTTCTTACTACCCGCTACAGAGGAAGTTGGACTAGTTCTTTTGGCTTGCCCCCCTCTGACGTTACTCTTCTTACCTCGTGCACTTCTCTTTGATGAAACATTGCTGCCGTTGGTATTTTTTCTGTCGACTTTCTCCCCATCTCCAGTGGGTTTGAAATAGTGGATCTTACCAGGTCGGTTCCGTCTCCTTTCAGAGGGAGTCAGAATTTTGTTATCTCCGTCATCCTTTTCCAAGATTTGATTGACTGTGTCAAGCAGAAGCTCACTCTCGATGAAAGGGATTTGAACGATTGCTTCCCATGCTTGACGCTTTCCATTCGGATCGGAGGTAAAATCGGAAGGATAGTACTCGATTAAAGGAGAAGAGGGATGTAGCATCAGCTCTCCTAGAGCCGTTGGCAACAAGTTAGCACTCTGAGGTGGAAGAACTGACAATAGCTGAGCTAGACTAGGGAAAGGGGTACCCAATTCAAATGGGAAGCTTTTGAATTCAGCATCATCTGGATCATCGTGATAGAATTCATCCAAGTTAACCATATCTGTTGCCAGGGGGCTGTAGAGATGCGGGAAATACCAATCCCAATCGCAACAACCATTGTGGTAGTAATTCAAATTCCAGTGAAGTCCTTCTAGGTAGTCCCTCGCATGGGCTCGGCGATGAAAGAGGGTTTTTTCACGGTCCTCCGTTGGCCAGCCAAGTTTCGATTCGTAGTAAAAGTCTCGATACGAGCGAGCTTGGCTATCTGGATGCCTTCTTCGGAATGCGCGGTTCCCTTTAGGTCCAACAACATGAGGATATTCGTTGTCCTCGTCCACCTTCTTCATTTCTTCTTCACTCGCCACCTCCGCAGAGGTTTTGGGTACTTTTTTGACCTTTCGAGAAGGTGGAGGTTCACTCCCTTTCACATTTGCGGCGACAGCACACGAAGGAGTCGGATTGCCGGAATAAAAGATGCCGTAAAAGTCGTTCTCGTCGTGTTCATTATCTGATTCGAGCTTCCACCCGGGCTCGTTTTCTTCGTACCCCCGCTTTTTAAAGTGCTCCTCTTCGTAAACCGACAAATGATAAATGAACTCTTCGAATCTTTCAGGGGCAATCTTCTCGCGATCTGTCAAATATCCTCCCCAATCAGGTAACAAGTCAATGTATGTTGTCATCATCAGTGATATGGCACCGCCATTGATTTCCAGGTGGGGGCAGTGGCTTAAAAAGTCGTTTCCAACCAGCATGCACATGAAAACAAAGTCGTCAACTATTCGATCTAAAGAGTAATCTCCCTCTAATTGATCAGAGAACTTGCGAAATTGGATGGCTAGGAGCTTGCGCAAACTTGCCAATTCCAGTAATTCGAAGTCATGGCGAGTGTATTCCATCATGTCCTTCTTTTTACGATATTTGTTACGTCCTCGGCCAGCCATAACGACAGACATTTTTTCTCGCAAGAGCATGAAGTTGCTTTCGTGAGTGACTAGTCCCAGCTAATTCATTCAATTAGAGATGAAAGCATTATTCAAAATGGATTTGTAAGCTTTTTTGGAAAATGACGGTATGGTGGAATAGTAGAATTCATATTTTACTTACCATGATTAGGTCAGCATCGAGACCATACAAGACATGTGTCCATCCGGGACCGTAGAGATCGGTGGATTCCCCTGTTTTGCGATATTCCTGTTGCGATTCTCGAATGAAATCCATGACCTTGTGTTCTCCTTCTCCTGGAACATCTGGTCCACTAACAATGACAGTAGCACCGTTCATCCAAAATGGATCCGTTTTCAGTTTGTAATCAACCCACTTTTGTAGGGCTAGCGATAACTTCAACATGAAATCGGTTCCTGGAGTAATGCAATTTGAATCGAATCGTTGCTTGTCCTTCTCAATCTTTAACTCCTTTCCTTTGAAATTTTCTCGAGCCGCCAAATCTGCGGCCAGTTGCTCGGCTTCCTTTGCTGATCGAAACCGACGCGATCGCTGTTGATTCATTTTGGCACGAGGTGCGGTTCCATCTACGGCGAGGTACAGAACCTGGTTCGGCTGAACCATCTTGTACAATCGATCGACGTAAAGGAAAATCTTTTTGAACATCGCTGTCTCATCCAAATACACCAATTCGCTGTCATTGTTACCATGCGTACATGGATGGATGATTCCGTTCATGTCCAAATAAAAATTGTCTACCGAAACATCTTCGGCCAATCCTTCTTCGAGGCGATTGTTGATGATATCGGGATATTGATCGGTCAACCAACGAAACATTTTGGGGATTCCGAAGAGCGCCGTAGACTTTGATCCAGTTGGAGATGGCAAAATCGGAAGCAGTGGATCTTGTTCTTTTCGCTCTGTCCTTGTGGTTACTMCAGTTGGTAGAGACGAAAAAGGTGGTACAAATGCATTGCAGATCGTGCTAAGAGCGCACAGAAACAGCGCTGCCGTAGTGAAACAGTTTGACATTTTGAAGGCAACTTAAGGAGCGAATTGAACAACACACAACAGAGAGCCAAAAATAATAATGTGTAGATTTGATGGTGCTCTGGTGAAAATTCTTCTCACCATTCACTCTTTATCTTTGATTATGGAGTTTGCGCTTTGTTCGGCCGCTCTTTACAGCTTTCAAGAAGTAATCGGACCTCAGATGTGTGACGCTGCAAAAAGGACGGTAGTTTCCTTCCAGCGTGACGATGATCGAAGTCAGACGTGATCGGAAATTAGTGAAAAGAATTGTGAAAAACTAAGAAAGAAAACGAAAATGAATGATGATGGGCTGGCAGCTGGCAATCTGTGATCTGGCTATATTTTCATATGTACAATAGATACTTTGCTTATGTATTATGTTACCATGCATTATGTATGGCAAGGGGGGTCTTATTTTTTTATGCAACGGCCGGTTTTTTCAGTTTTGCTTGTCTTGTTTCTTTTGATTTTGAGACAAGACTGGGATTCTCATGGATCGAGGATGATGTGAGTTGCTTTACAATACTACACTGTCTACCGCCGCTGTAACTAGCCATAACAAAGCATTATCAAGAAAAGGATAGACGTCATAAATAAACATGCCATTGCCTATGTCAAGAACAGCACCTTTCGCAATCTTTGGATGCATCCTGTCTGCATATGCACTCTATGTGGAGCACAAAGTCGCGCATTTGAGTCCAGACGGTGAAGAATTTACGGCATTATGCGACATCGAGCAGATTGGTGCCTCCTGCAGGTGTGTTGCGATGAATCCTGTGCAATTTTAAATTTGTCCTTTGATCGAATTGGTGCCAGTAGTTTGTTTGTATGCCATTTGATTGATTGGCGTGTGTCCGACAGTATCAGAATTGAGCCAGAGAAATCGAATATTTTTTTGTCTGTTCTATTGAGCCTCATTCCCGTTGATTTTTTTCAAACATTTTCCAATACAATATGATGCGTCACGGCGACACGATGAAATACAACCCGTCTCGCTTTTTTCTTAATGATGCTCACTATTACAGCAATGTGTTTCAGCTTCCAGAGGGTCGCATGCTGTCGTATTTTGGAATCGTTCCCGAGGGTAGTATATTGGATGTTCCTAATGCAGCATTAGGTATGTACCGCAGTTTTTGCTTAATGCACAAGATTTGATCATATACATGCGAATTCTTCTTCGGTTTTTCCCTGACAAAGAACGCTATGTATCTTTTCCGGCATTCTGTTCTGCAATGCTGTAGGATTGGTCTATTATTCATACTGGTTATTGATTGGACCATTATTACCGAGCGCATCGACAGTTTTCGTGTCTTCGATAGCCATGGCTAGTTCTGTATTCTTAGCAATCAAACTTGTGATACTAAAGGAACTATGTATTTTGTGTTGGTCGACACACGTCATCAATTCCCGACTCTTTTGGAGTGTTGTGGCTCAGACGATTTCTGGAGGAAGCGCTACTTCCACAAAAAAGAAAGAAAAGGTCATCAAGCGAGTATAGAAATGAACAAAAATTATCCTGCACAAAATGTTTTGTTGCTGCAGTAGCTTGTTCGATGATAGGGAGGTTGAGAGAAGTAATCAAGAATGCATTTTTTTCACATTTTAACAGCCAGGTGATGAAGGTATGCTGAAAATCAAAACATTGCAATCAATTTGACAAATTGAATTTTTATCTTCGTCTACTACAATGGTATCTTCTCTTCAGAAAATGATTAGTATTGAAAAAATTATAATTAGCATTGATTCATGGACTCTGAAGAATAAATGTGGGTGGCAAACGATAGATTCCTCTACCAGAATTTCTTTACGATGAATGTTGTGCAATATTTAGTTGAGTCACTTGCAGCTCTATAATTCTTCACTTGCTTCCGTTGATTTGGGAAGCGCATCTTCCTCGTCTTCCTCTTCTTGTTCAAACCAAGGGGCGACTCCTGCTTCATCCTTCTCCACCCCAAGACGCCTGGCCTGCCACTGGCCTACAACCGAAGCAGGCGAAAAAAAGTTCCATCCACGAACAGAACCTCGGCAAAAGTAATAATCATCGACAACTCCGGCCCAGATATTCTTTCCAAGAATTGAATTTTTAGACATACTCAGAAACTGGTTGGCAACATCAAAATTCCAGTTTCCTTCAGAGTTGTCGCCCCAAATTGCTACGTTCTTGCCATCTTTGTCAACAGCCAATCGACACCAGGTTTCTACAATATTTTCTCCACTGTTGTCCATCACTGTACCAACTAACCACTCGCTACCCAAGAATTCTTCTTCTCTTAAAATATCATACTCCACATATTCGTATTCGTCGTCATCATCTTCGTCGTCGGAAGCAACGGAAAGGCCTTCCGCGGAAGAAATCGAAGAAGAGAGTGCAACCCGAGGTTGAACTTGCATGTAAGCATGCCGCGTACTCGTGGGCGACGTTTGGGTAACAAAAGCTCTAGAGACAAGAGGTGATTGGAGAAACCCAATCACTGAGTACAATACTATAACCGATGACGAATACGAAGGCATCATTTCAAAATTGCTGCTTTTTAATTTGTTTGGCGGGAATTTTCTCAAGGATATTCGGAGATTGAAGTATTGAGTGGTGTGCTTGATTTGGTTTCTTTCTATCAGATGATGATTCTGGTGGGAAGCAATGTAGAATAGGATCGCTTGGAGTTTCTACTCGTCGTTGATGAATTAGATCAAGTCTCGAAAAATATTAACATCATCAACTAAAGAAACAGGTGTGGATTTTGCAACGTAGTAAAGCTGAACAGAAGCATCATCGTGGTCATCTTACCGCTGGTTGAACTGGCCCGTCCGCTCAGAACTTTTTTAGTGTTTTCATGCCGTACCATTGTTTTCACTAGTACTTATCTGTGTGACACGCGGAGGTCACGAGGACGAGATTTGTTTCAAAGTACATTGATACCCTACTATCCATACCGTAGGATGAAGCATAAGTTGGTATTCGAAAACAACCTACCGTACGGTACACGGCGCCGTACGGTACCGGTAGAATTTCGCTCTCCAGTAGAATAATCGTGGGCGGAAACCACTCAGGGAATCTATCTGTCGAGTCGCTCTGGTCGTTCGCACACACGACTAGCAAGCCGCTGCTCGATCTCTTCCACAGCTGTTCAAGCGGGGATTTTCGTCCGACTTTGGCGTTAATTTAGAGTTAGGGATAATACTACAATCAAGCAATCTGATTGGCTAATTAGACCGATCAAAATATCGAAAACTGTACAGTATACTCCCCTGATATCCAATTTTGCCGTAGAACTCTACGAGGAATTTGTACTAGGAAGGAGTATTTGCTTGTTTTTTTGCTTGATTTGGCTCGCGTTCAAATTACCACCAGCAGTCCTTCCATATAGTAGTAATGAAGCTATCCTCCTCTTCTTTAGTCTGTTGGCGTCACTATCGATGGCGCCTCTATTACTGCTGCGATACAGCGCCATTATCCACGGCTGCTGTCACCACGCTATGACTAGTACCGTGGAAGGTAGCAACAGACACTAAAAATGGTTTCATCCTTTCACGATAGTAGCTGGTGACTGTAAGCAAGCAGCAGCAGCAGCAGCAGCAGCAGCAGCAAGAACACCACTTTGCACTAGAACTGTACTCGTGTCGATGGAAGATATCTGTCATAAAATCAATCCTTGCTGACAGCAAC